GCGCTCGGACCAACGCGCGCGCCCGGACCACCGCGCGCGCCCGGACCACCGCGCGCGCCCGGACCACCGCGCGCGCCCGGACCACCGCGCGCGCCCGGACAACCGCGCGCGCCCGGACAACCGCGCGCCACGGACCACCGCACGCCTCGGGACCAACGCGCGTCCCGGACCAACGCGCGCGCCCGGACCAACGAGCGCGCCCGGACCAACGCGCGCGCCCGGACCAACGCGCGCGCCCGGACCAACGCGCGCGCCTGGACCAACGCGCGCGCCTGGACCAACGCGCACGCCTGGACCAACGCGCGCGCCAGGACCAACGCGCGCGCCTGGACCAACGCGCGCGCCTGGACCAACGCGCGCGCCCGGACCAACGCGCGCGCCCGGACCAACGCGCGCGCCCGGACCAACGCGCGCGCCCGGACCAACGCGCGCGCCCGGACCAACGCGCGCGCCTGGACCAACGCGCGCGCCTGGACCAACTCGCGCGCCTGGACCAACTCGCGCGCCTGGACCAACGCGCGCGCCTGGACCAACGCGCGCGCCTGGACCAACGCGCGCCCCTGGACCAACGCGCGCCCCTGGACCAACGCGCGCCCCTGGACCAACGCGCGCCCCTGGACCAACGCGCGCGCCTGGACCAACGCGCGCGCCTGGACCAAGGAGCGCGCCTGGACCAATGCGCGCGCCTGGACCAACGCGCGCGCCTGGACCACCACGCGCTCGCCTGGACCACCACGCGCGCGCCTGGACCAACGCGCGCCCCTGGACCAACGCGCGCCCCTGGACCAACGCGCGCCCCTGGACCAACGCGCGCGCCTGGACCAACGCGCGCGCCTAGACCAACGCGCGCGCCTGGACCAACGCGCGCCCCTGGACCAACGCGCGCGCCTGGACCAACGCGCGCGCCTGGACCAACGCGCGCGCCGGGACCAACGCGCGCGCCTGGACCAACGCGCGCGCCTGGACCAACGCGCGCCCGTGGACCAACGCGCGCCCCTGGACCAACGCGCGCGCCTGGACCAACGCGCGCGCCTGGACCAACGCGCGCGCCTGGACCAACGCGCGCGCCTGGACCAACGCGCGCGCGTGGACCATTGCGCGCGCCTGGACCAACGCGCGCGCCTGGACCAACGCGCGCCCCTGGACCAAGTCGCGCGCCTGGACCAACGCGCCCCCCTGGACCAACGCGCACCCCTGGACCAGCGCGCGCCCCTGGACCAACGCGCGCGCCCGGACCAACGCGCGCGCCCGGACCAACGCGCGCGCCCGGACCAAAGCGCGCGCCCGGACCAACACGCGCGCATAGACCAACGCGCGCGCCCGGACCAACGCGCGCGCCCGGACCAACGCGCGCGCCCGGACCAACACGCGCGCCCGGACCAACGCGCGCGCCCGGACCAACGCGCGCGCCTGGACCAACGCGCGCGCCTGGACCAACGCGCGCGCCTGGACCACCACGCGCTCGCCTGGACCACCACGCGCGCACCTGGACCAACACGCGCCCCGATACCAACGCGCGCGCCTGGACCAACGCGCGCGCCTGGACCAACGCGCGCGCCTGGACCAACGCGCGCGCCTGGACCAACGCGCGCCCCTGGACCAACGCTCGCCCCTGGACCAACGCGCGCGCCTGGACCAACGCGCGCCCCTGGACCAACGCGCGCGCCTGGACCAACGCGCGCGCCTGGACCAACGCGCGCGCCTGGACCAACGCGCGCGCCTGGACCAACGCGCGCGCCTGGACCAACGCGCGCGCCTGGACCAACGCGCGCGCCTGGACCAACGCGCGCGCCTGGACGAAAGCGCGCCCCTGGACCAACGCGCGCGCCTGGACGAACGCGCGCGCCTGGACCAACGCGCGCCCCTGGACCAACGCGCGCTCCTGGACCAACGCGCGCGCCTGGACCAACGCGCGCGCCTGGACTAACGCGCGCGCCTGGACCAACGCGCGCGCCTGGACCAACGCGCGCGCCTGGACCAACGCGCGCGCCTGGACCAACGCGCGCCTGGACCAACCAGGAGAGCGCAGGGAGGAAGCTTCCCTCCCCCGTGCCCACCGGTGGCAGGGGAAATGCAGCAGCCACATCCACTCTGCCACCTCCAACCACGAGAGCTGGAGGGAAGGTTGGAGGGCGGGGAGACACATGGGGTTGGGAGGAGGAAAGAGGCAGGAGAGCATACGATGAGAGTGGTGTAACTTTGCAAAGCTGGTCCAAGCGCTCCTAGATGCGTATTATGCTTTAGATAAGGCCCGTTTTCTAGAACTGCTAAATATTTGCCTAACCAAGTGTGCTTGGGCTACTAGTTTAGGATCATACCTCGCATTTGCTGAGCCGACTGCTCGTTTCAAGAGGTGCACTCTTTTGAATCGTGCAGTCAGCTCAGCCCATGCGAGTGTGGAATAGTCGAGCAGAAAGTCCCCGTCTCACCTCGAGGGGACTGGTTGCACGCTGCAAGCGGCGGAAAAGGGATGGATTACGTCGAGAAAGGAGGGGCGAGAACTGGTGGGGAGGCCTGTGGCTTTCGAGGTTTGAGTTCTGACAAGAGAGGAGAGCGGAGATGTGGCAGGGCGCAGGGGAGGCAAGGTGAGAGGTGATAAGAGGATGCAATGAAAAGGTGAAGTGAAAGAAGAGGGGCAACAACTTTATTCCTTTATCACCTCCCACCTCCCCGTCTCCCAACCCCCCTCCTTCTCCCCGACACCTCCTCGTACTCCCCCCGCTCCCCCAGCTTTCTCGCCTCCTCTCCCTCACTCTCTCTCTCTCTCGCCCCCTGGGCCGCCTCGACTCTCCTTTACATTTTCAACCGTACCCATTTCTACTTGCCCCTCCCCTGACAACCCCCCATCCCACCTCCCTCCCAGCTGTCTCGCCTCCTCTTCCTCACTCTCTCTCTCGCCCCCTGGGCCGCGTCCTCCCTCCTCCGCTCCACACACTCCCTTCTTGAGGGACGAAGCGGCCAGGGAGGAGGGGACGACTGGGAAGAGGAGGAGGAGCGGGAGGAAAGGGATGATATGGAGGAGAGAGGGGAGCAGATGCTGCGGGAGGAGTGGCAGGAGGCAGGAGCGTATAAGAGGAGCAGAGTCGGCTCCGGAATGTGGAGCAACAGCAGTGGCAGTGGTGGTGGCGGCAGTAGCAGCAGTGGGATGAGCAGTGAAACAGGAAACCCCTACTCCTCCTCCTCCTCCTCACCTTTCACACCAGCCCCACATGCCCCACCCTCGTCTCCCTCCTCAGCCTCTGCTCTTGCGTCCAAGCTGCTCCACCTGTTGCTCACCGATGCACGCATATCTGCCGCTCTGCTGGCGCCACTGCAGTCCGCCCTGCTCGTGCTGCCAGCGAGGGGCTCTCAGGGGGGTGGCACTCAGGGGGGTGACTCTCAGGGGAGCGACGCCTGTCCGGGTGGGGACTCAGTGGCAGGTTCAGAGCAGTCGGCGCTGCATAATGGGCTTGATCTGCTCACCCTCTGCATTCGCCTCAAGCCCTTCTGTTCCGCTGTTGCTGATGCTGTGAGTGGAGCCAGCCCCAATCACCCTCTGTCCTGCAATTTTCCTCTGCAGTAGTTGAGAAATCCCAAACGCCTCTTCCATTACAGCGTCTCGCCCCAGTCCCATCCCCTTTACTCCCCCTCCTCCTACTCTTCCTCTTGTCCACTGTGCGACCAATTTCACCCGCACTGTCTTCATACCTATCCTCACTCTGTTGCGTCTCTCTCCTTCCCTCCCCTCTCTCGCACGCCTTGCAGCCCCTTTCCCCCTTAAGCTCACTCCAACTTTCTTCTTCCGCACTTCTCCCCTCTCATATATACCAGCCCTGTCCCGTTTTGCTCCTCTCCCCCCCTCTCTGTGTGTTTCCCCTCACCTCACTGTCTCTCTCCCCCCCTGCAGCCCCTCTCCCCTTTGGAGTCGCTTCTCCTCTCCTCCTCCGCTCGCCTCCCCTCGCATCTCATGCCGCTCACCCCGTCAGCACCAGCGCTAGACTCTGCAGGAGCTGCAGCAGACGCTGCCTTAGCAAGAGCAGCAGCAGGAGGAGGAGGAGGAGGAGAGGGAGCAGGGGCAACCATGGGGCTTGATTCAGTTCCGCTGGTGACGGCGCTTGCTGCACTGGCAAGCCTCGGCCAGTCACAGGTGCGCTAAATTGAGTCTGCACAGTGATTTGAGACGTCTCAAAACAGAGGGAGCAGGGGCAACCATGGACTTGATTCAGTTCCGCTGGTGACGGCGCTTGCTGCACTGACAAGCCTCGGCCAGTCACAGGTGTGCGGATTTTGCAGGTTTGCAGGATTTTGCGCTGTCTTTGCATTTTCATCTGCAAGCGAGTGTTGGTTGTGTCACGAGCAATAAACGCTCAGTGACACTGGTGAGCGGTTTCTTTCACCCATCTTCTCCCTCCACTCCCTCCCTTGCAGGCTCTGCGCCGTGCCTCGCTCACCTTCCTGCACACGCTCTGCACCATCGCCGCTCGCATCAGACCACACCTCCTTTCCATTCTGTGTGCTGTGCCTCCTCACTCTCCACTCTCCGCCCCTCCCTTGCAGGCTCTGCGCCGTGCCTCGCTCACCTTCCTGCACACCCTCTGCACCATCACAGCTCGCATCAGACCACACCTCCTCGTCCTCTCTTCCTTCTTCTCCCAACCTGCTGCCAAACCCATTGTGAGCTCATCCTAGGGGCTTCGGATTCAGTTGGATGGTAACGTAACCTGGTATATAAATATATATATTGGTTCTGCTGTGCACTCTGTACGTGTTTTGATTCTAACACAATTCATTATGTTTTTATTTACCGTTCGTCAACCGTGGCTCGTTCCCTCTCCTCCTGCTTGTCTCTTCTGCATCTCCTTTCCACTCCTGTCCCTTTCTGCTGAACTCATCCCCATGGAATCTCGCCTTCTGACGATGCCCCCACATCCCTGCTTTTATCTCTCTCAACTTCCCCATCCAACCGCACCCCTTCCCACCCCTTCCCACCCCCCACCACACCCCTCCTTGCAACCCCCCCTCTATGACCCTTCTTCCTCTTTACCACCCACATTTCCCCCTCTCCCTGCCCGCCTCCGCCTTTCCCCTTGCTTCGCAACCTTTCCCCCGCCCACCTTTCCCCCGCCCACCTTTCCCCCGCCCACCTTTCCCCCGCCCACCTTTCCCCCGCCCACCTTTCCCCCGCCCACCTTCCCCCCGCCCCACCTTCCCACCCCACGCAGCTCCACAGCCTTCAGATCGCTGTGGATCGCATCCTGGCCGTTGAATCAGCCCGCATCAGTGCATCAGCACCGTCAAAATCAGCACCCTCATCCTCCTCCTCACCCTCATCCACTCCCTCATCTGGCTTCTTCGTTCCCTTGCTTCAACTGCTCACTCACGCTGCACACTCACAAGTAAGCACCTCTCTAATTATTGAGACTCTTTTGAGGCGCCGCAATGCTCAATGCACAATGCACTTTCTAACATAAGCGCCTCTCCAAATCTTTCACTTGCTGTGCTGTCCCTTCTGCACTTTACCTATCTAGCACCTGCTTTCACCAACTCTCACCTTTCTCAACCTTTCTCAACCACTCTCCTCGTCCCCACACACCTCCTTTGTGCAGCCTGAGTTTCTCCACCAGCTCCTTCTGGCCGAGCATCCCAGCCTCCACTCTTCCAGCAGCAGTGCCACCAATGGCACCGACAACAACAACACCAGCACCGATAAACAAGCAGCAACAGCAGCAGTTAGTGGAACTAGCAGCGCAAAGAAGGAGAAGAACCTGACACCTCGGGCTGTGGCCAACATGGACAAAATCCTCGCTCTGCTGTCTGCAGGCCCTTCCCTCATGACCGCGTGAGTCTTGCCCTCCCGTGAGTCTTGCCCTCCCGTGAGTCTTGCCCTCCCGTATTGTCTCTTTGCCTATCTCGCATCTCGTGTTTGACACCTCGGGCCACAGCCAGCATGGATAGAATCATTGCTCTGATGGCTGCAGGCCCTTTCTCCCATATGCCTGTGAATTCTTCCCTACCCTTCTTACAAACCCCCCCCCCCCCCCCCCCCACCCACCCTCAATCCCCACACTTGCACCCCCTTGCATTCCTGTTCTGTTTCTCTCGTCCACTCCTCTCCGCATCCGAATTCCTCACCAGTATCGCTTTTCCTCCTTTGAGTCGCCTAAAGAAAGGACTCTCTCTCTTTTGATACCCACCTCACCTCTGCTACGAGATGGAGGTCGTCAGTCATCTCCTCCTGCATTCCTGTAACTCGTGAGATGACTCGAAAATGAACTTCCCTTCGTCCACCTCCTTCTCCCAACTCATTGTTTTTCTCCTCTCTTTTTTTCCTCTGATCCCCCCCTGTTCCAGCCATCCCATGCAGCTCTGCCTGCTGCTGCGCCTCCTCTGCTCCATCTGGCGCTCCTCCTCCCCTCCTCTCCTCCCTCTCCTCCTCCACCTCCGCTCCACCCCCTCCCTCTGGTCCTCCCTCTCCTCCATCCTCCACTCCTCCCCCTCTCCCCCCTCCTCCTCCTCCTCACTCCCCTCCCCCCCCTCGCTCTCCTCACTCTCTCCTCCCCCCGGCACCCACTCGGCGTCCGCTGACGTGGAATACGCCCCCGCTGAGCTGGCGCGAGCTGGCTGGCGCTGGCGCTGCCACGCCGCCTCCCTGCGCCTCGTCTCCCTCGACCTGTTCCTCGAGAAGAAGCTTCCTGGAAAATTCTCAGCCGGAGGTGCAACAGCAGCAGCAACAGGGGCACGGATGTTGCTGTTAGAGGCGAGGGGAGGAGGGAGGAAGGGAAGAGAGGGGGTGGGGTTGGTGGGAGAACTGGTGGGGGTGGTGCAGGGAGGGGGGCGGCTGTGGGGCGACATGTGGCAGGCTTGGAGTGGCGGACAGGTGAGCACCTGTAGCAGAGGGGTCCCGCAGCAGTGTGTTTCCGTAAGGTAAGCAGCAGTTTTTTTTATACTTGGCAGGGTGGCTCCACAAATTTGCATGGTGTGTCGTAGATTTCTCAAAAACTCTCTGTCTGGACGGAGCAGAGAGGCTGTGGGGTTTTGAGGCGCCTCAAAACTAAACTAGTTTTGAGGCGCCTCAAAACTAGATTTCTCAAAGACTCTCTGTGTGGATGGAGCAGAGAGGCTGTGGGGCGACGTGTGGCAGGCTTGGAGCTGCGGCCAGGTGAGCAACGCTGTAGCAGGGTGTTTCTGAGAAACTGCGTGGTGTCTTTGGGAGAATTCATGGTGCTTTTGAGAGTTATTTTCAACCCCTCCCTGCTCCGTCCTCCGCTGCCTCCTCTCCTCCGTTGCGCCAGCTGGCATGCAAGCTGCTGGCGGCCGTGCTGATGTGGCGGGTGGCTGTTGGTGACGTGGAGGGGATGAGCCTGCGACTGCTAGAGCAGATCGAAATCCGTCTCCTTCCAGGTACCTTCCTTCTTGCCTTCCTTCTTGCCTTCCTCCTTTCCATACTCACCATGCCTTACTCACCATGCCATACTCACCATGCCTTACACACCATGTCATGCAAACCACGCTCTGAGCTCTTCTCTTTTCCTTTATTCTTCTGACATAATTCTCAGCGAGCTGCAAACTTAGTCAGGCTTAAAGCAAAGGATAGACAGTAAAAAATCCTCCTGTATTACTTAGATCTCAACAATCCGAGCTCAAGAACTTCAGCAGTAGAGTAAAACAAACATGTTTCGGCCGTTAAGGGGCGACCCTAGCAGGCCTTCATCGGTGCTAATGAAAAAAGCAGAGCTAAGCTACGCTTCAAGAAGAAACGAAGCCTCAGAAAAACTGATCTCTAGGCTATCTACACCAGGTCAGCCCGAAATACGGGGACCAATACATGTCACCCTCGAAAACTTCTCAGGTGGCCACGTCTTCAATCCTTGGGGCGTCTTCGTTGAAATTCGAATTCGCATCTTCGCCAGGCAGCAACTGTGGAAGTCGCGCGCGTACCAGTAACCTGTTAAGGTTACAACCAATTTGCCATGCAACAAACAACCTCTCCACATATAATCCGCGTGTAGTGAGTCGATTTTTGAGTCGACTCAAAAGGACCCCTAGCCCGAGACGAGCAGACACCGAAGTGTACTGTGTCTTCAAAACTAGGGGTCCACGGGATGGGAGAGAGAGTTGTTGCCGGAGCGCATGGTTAGCGATGGTAGTGGCGAGGAGTGACGAACGGTGAGCGAAAGTGACGCCTTGGAAGATTGGGTGCAAAAAGGCAGGTGGGTAACCACGGTCACGAAGCCGGCCGAAGAAAGCCTTCTTCGTTGCGAGGAAAGTCGCAGCTGATGTAGAGCGGAGCAGGTACCGCTTCAATTCTGCGCGAATGAAAGATTCCTTGCAATGCCGTGGGTGGAAGGAAGCAAAGGGAAGATAGAGATACTTGTTCATCGGCTTCTGAAACGTGCCGAAATCCAGAGTACCCTGCTCCTTAAACCGTGGTCCCTTGAAAAGAACCACGTCCAGAAAATCGATGGAGCAATCCGAAACAGACCATGTGATCCGAATGTTCGGATCAAGCTCATTGAAGGTGCGCAGGTAGGCTTCCAAATCTGCCCGCGTCCCCGGCCACACGATTAGACCGTCGTCGATGTAGCGTACATGGTAAAGAGGTAACGTTCCGGTCCACTTCCCCTTAAGTAACTCATCCAGGCGGCTCATGAACAGGATCGCGAAGCTAACTGCTACAGGTGTACCCATGGCGGTGCCTCGTAGTTGGTGAAAGATCCGGCCGCCGAACTCGACAAAAGAGTTCCTCATGACCCAACCCAGAAGGGCCATGAGAGGTGGGGTGAGTAACGGTTTCTCCCTCATCAGAAAACAGCTGACCGCATCAAGGCCGCGTTCGATCGAAATGCTGGGGTAGAGAGCGGCTACGTCATACGTCGCTAGAAGTACCGTCGTCGGAAACGTGGTGCGTTCGAGCGTTGTCAGCAAAGAGAGAGAATCCCGGAGGTACGTAGGACGATTCAAAACCAGCGGGCGAAGTTCAGCGTCAAGCCACTTGCTCACATTAGTCGTGACCCATGAGTGTGAGGCAGCGATCGGTCGCCCCACAGGTACTTTCTTGTGAAGCTTAGGCAAGGCGTAGAACGCAGCTGGCCGCCATCCCCCGGGTGGTTCCTTGAAGAAATATTTCCAGAGACTGTCTGGAAAAGCCGGTCCCCACGTCACCTTCAACTCCCGCAGCTGCTGCAGAACCCGTGGCGTCGGATCGCGTTCAATCGGCCGGTACACTTCCGCATCCCCGAGTTGTTCCATACACAAGTCGATGTAGTGCTGCCGATCGAGGATAGTAACGCCAACGTTTTTGTCTGCAGGTTTGATAACGATGCTGCGGTCGGCGGCGAGGGAGCGTAACGCCTTACGAATTCCTGACGAGATGTTGAAACCCCGCCATGGCGTCGTCGCTTTCAGAAGGTAAGAGAGGTCGTTGTGGGCCTCCCTGAACACCGACTCCGAGACAACTTCCCGATCGGGTTTCCAATCTGGGTTGCGCACACGAAAGCGTGACATCTCAGATGAATCCCCTTTATCCTTGAAGAAAAAATGCAGAGAAATCCGTCGATGCAGTTGATCGAGATCTGCTTCGATGGAAGGGCTCCTGGTAGGCGTTGGCACGAATTTCAGTCCCATCCCGAGTGCTCGTCGCTCATCGATCGTTAAAACCTTAGCACTCAGGTTATGCACCCCGTTGTTTCGGACCCGCGACATGGCTTGGCGTGAAGTCAAGCGGCCGAACCAACGAAGCGCGAGATCCCGCGCCGTTACTTCTTCTTTGGCGGCCCTTTTGCGGGGCCGCCGCCTCCGTTTTTTGGAACCCAGGCCTGCTTCGGTGCTGCTTTGCCCTTCTCCTTGCCGTCAGTAGGAGCGTCAGATTTCTTCTTTTTCCCCCGCTTCTTCTTCGCCTTGTTGTTCTGGGGCTTAGAATCGGCGGCGGTGGTCGACGGAGAGACCTTCTTCTCCAACGCAATCTTCTGAAACTTCGCAGATAGCTCTTTGTCCAGCTTCGCCGCAAACTCCTTGCGAAGCCGTTCTTCGACCTTCTTTACGTGCTTCTGAACGATTGCGTCGACCGTCGGATCCAAATCCATTCTGTCGATCTCCTCAGCCGCGGCAGCTTTCTTCAAATCCTCAGCTTCACGTTTTTTCTGCCGTTCCAACTCTTGGATGATGATCTCATCCTTAGCGATGACTATGTCGGACTGCGCCTTCTCGATGCAGGCCCCTTTAATCTTCCTGTACTTCTCCCTGGTAGCATCAGATACCGCCAGGTCAGGGTTCTCCGAGAGACTTTTCAGGTAGTCCTCAAGCTTTGTCGCCAGAGTCGTCACGTGCAGGTTAGAAGCCGCCAAAATCTCCTCAACCTCCATCTCCTTCGAAGCGATAAAGTCCTTTTGGATACGCTTTTGATTCTCCAGATGAACAGCAGCAACCGAAGCTGCAGACTTCTCCCGAACAGCAGGGTATTTCGTCTCGAACTCAACTGCTTTGGTGCGAATGCTATGAAGAATCACACCCTGCTCATCAAGCGTCTTCATCTTCTGAAGCTTGGACTTCGCCTTCAAGAGTGATTTGAAATCCGCCCGAAAACCCTTGACCGCCATCGCAGTCCAGCCTTTAAAACGCTCAGGAATGTGAAACTGCTCAGGAACAGCCGGGTTGGCGCTCGTAGAGGCAACAGCAGGTGCCATCTCAGGAGCAGCGTTCGAAGCGGGATTCGTCTCCATGGCGGGAGGTGAATTTGTTTGCTCGTTATGCGATGTCGGTCTGCGAGTTGGTGCAGCACGATTTGCTCCTTCAAGTTCGCGACGGCGTTGTCGCTTGTTCGTGCGATACCCCGCGTAAGTCTTGGGAACAACTGCCTCGTGGATCACAATAGCAGAACTGCCCTCGTTAAGTTCGGCGTCGTCTGAGTCAAGCGTAAGTGCCAACTGGTCTTCTGACATAATTCTCAGCGAGCTGCAAACTTAGTCAGGCTTAAAGCAAAGGATAGACAGTAAAAAATCCTCCTGTATTACTTAGATCTCAACAATCCGAGCTCAAGAACTTCAGCAGTAGAGTAAAACAAACATGTTTCGGCCGTTAAGGGGCGACCCTAGCAGGCCTTCATCAGTGCTAATGAAAAAAGCAGAGCTAAGCTACGCTTCAAGAAGAAACGAAGCCTCAGAAAAACTGATCTCTAGGCTATCTACACCAGGTCAGCCCGAAATACGGGGACCAATACATGTCACCCTCGAAAACTTCTCAGGTGGCCACGTCTTCAATCCTTGGGGCGTCTTCGTTGAAATTCGAATTCGCATCTTCGCCAGGCAGCAACTGTGGAAGTCGCGCGCGTACCAGTAACCTGTTAAGGTTACAACCAATTTGCCATGCAACAAACAACCTCTCCACATATAATCCGCGTGTAGTGAGTCGATTTTTGAGTCGACTCAAAAATCGACTTCCATACTCACCATGCCTTACACACCATGTCATGCAAACCACGCTCTGAGCTCTTCTCTTTTCCTTTATTGTGTATACTATTTGCTTTCGTCCCTTCCCTCTCACTCTCATGGCTCCCGTTCCACTTGCCTCAACTCCTTTTCCACCCTCCTCCCTTTCCTTCCCCACTCATGTGTGCAGTTCTTTTCACACCCACTCCTGCAGCAGCTCACCTCTCACTCTTCCCTCGCCCCGTCTCATTCCCTCCCCCCCCCCATCTCTCCGTGCAGTTCTTTTCACACCCGCTCCTGCAGCAGCTACACCATCAACTCACCTCTCACCCAAATCAACTCTCTTCAAATCACTTCTCCCCTCACCACCACCATCCCCACCCCTCTGACTGGAAACCCGTTCTCCTCTCCGCCCTCTGCTCCTCACTCTCCTCTCAACTCCCCACCTCCCTCTCCTCACTCTCCTCCCTCTCCTCCCTCCTCTCCTCCACTTCCCTCCTCGCCTCCTCCACCTCCTCCCTCACACCCTCCTCTCTCTCTTCCTCCTCTCTCTCCATCGCCGAACGTTGCCTGGACTCGGTGGAAGCTGCGGGGAAGCTTCTGCGGGCTCTGGCAGGGGCAGGAGGAGCAGAGGGAGGAGTGAGTCGCTTGCTGGGAGGAGGGTTGGGGTCAGGAGGAGGGGCAGCAGCAGGAGGAGCAGCGGCAGGAGGAACAGCAGGAGGGGAAGCAGGGCAAGGGCAGGGAGTAGCAGAAGTGAGGGTAGAGCGGTTAGAGAGCATAGCCTGCAGCATGACTACTGCATTCTTCCCACGCAGCCTCACTGCCTCTGCTGGTCTCCGCTTCTGGGGCAGCCACAGCAGCAGCAGCAGCGGCAGTGGCGGTGCTGGTGCTGGTGCTGGTGGCAGTGGCAGTGGCAGCAGTGGTGGTTCTGCTAGTGGAAAATCGCCGCCTCTTGCCCTGGTGGCAGCAGCAGCAGAGGCGTGTTTGGTAGCAGATGGGTTCCTGTGGCAGGCAGGAGGGTTGCTGGGAGCAGCAAAGGCTGCAGGAGACGTGCTGGCTGTCAGCAGCGCGGGAGGACTGAGTGGTGCAGATGGGTTTCAGGGGAGTATGGTGGGTTCGGAGGATCCCTGGGCTTTGCAGTGCGGTGCAGATGGGTCGACTGCGGTTGAGCCCTCTTTTCTTGAAAGCACCATCGGTGATCTCTCATCCTCGCTCCTCGCTGCTTGCTCCTCTGTCCTCCCACTCCCCCCCTCTTCGCCCTCCTCCCCTCCTCTCCCCTCCCCAGCTGCTTATCTCTTCTCCTCCTCTCGCCTCCTCCACCTTTTAATCACCAGAAGCAGGAAATTCTGGGGGAGCTTCCTGGTCAAGAAAGTCAACAGGGCTTCTTAGAATCCGTTGCCTCTTTTGCCTCGACCCTTGTGAGAAGGCTCATGGAAGCTTCCCGGAAGCTGATGGACTCTGAGCTGGCAGAACTCGTGGGACCCTGGCCCACCGTGTCGACACTTGGCAGCCTCTTATCGGTCCTGCAGCTGATCCACGTCATGCTGACGTCAGAACAGAAGAGGAGCGAGCTACCAGGTTCCTCCGCCACAACTGCCACCGTCTCCCTGCTACAAGACAAAACAGCTGACGTCACAGTGGTACTTTCCGAGAACCTTCCTGTGCTCCTCGAAGCAGCTTCCGCGAACATCCAAGAAGACGCGCAGGGATCCATCAGCGTGGCAGACGCTTCCAGGAACCTTCCGATGCAGGCTCTAGCAGTGGTGGAAATGGCGCTAAGGTGCTTCCTCTCCCCCCTCACATGGCGACCAATGGTATCCGCCCATCTCTCCCTCCCCTCCCTCCTCTCCTCCACTCTCCGGTACCACCCACCACCCTCACATGCAGCCGCCACAGCAGAAACTGGGAACACCGCATGGGACGAAACAGCCCCGTATTCCTCTCTCTCCTCTCTCTCCTCTCATGCCTCTCGCTCCTCTTGCTTCTCTCGCTCTGCATCTGCGCGGGCTGTGCTCAGTTTCTGTCTTACCCTCTCATCCACGCGTGAGGGTGCAGATCTCCTCCTGGCCGTTGGATTCCTGCGCCACGTCAGCACCATTACTGACGGCCTGCCACCTCATGCGCACCTCAGCGTCGGCCCTTTCCAGGAAGCTTCCGCCGCCTTTGGGGGGCTGTATGCTGATAGAGGGGGTTCAGATTTCACTGCAGCAGCAGCGGCGGCAGCAGCAGCAGGGGCAGCAGCAGCGGCAGCAGCAGGGGGTGTAGCAGGGAGAGGAACGGGAGGAGCAGGGGTATGGGGTCGGGTGGGCGCGAGTGGGTATGCCACGGGACGAAATAACGATCAGGATGACAGAGATAGTATCAAATATGATATTAGATATGATTTGGACCATGAGGAGGAGAGTGCTTCAGTGCGAGAGGCTTGGGAACTCTGGTCGCTGGCTCTCACTGTCACCACCTGCATGTTCCGCGCCCTCCTCCCTCCCCCTTCTCTCTCCGACTCCCTCTCTCTCGCCTCCTCCTCCGGTCTTCCTTTCTCACTCTCCCCCTCCCCCGCCTCCTCCTCTCTCTCTTCCACTGCTGCAAGACTAGCCCTTGACTTTCTCTCTTTCCAGCTCCCTTCCCTCTTAGCCGCCCTCTCCTCTCCCCTCCACCCCTCGCGCTCTCTCCTCTCCCTCTCAACTCCCACACCCCCCTCCTCCTATGCCTCCTCTCTCCTCTTCCCCCACCCCTCGTTACAGTCACAATCTACACAGTTACGAGGGCACCAATCCAAAAAGCGCCATCAGCTAATCACAAGCCTATCAGCCCTCCGATCCACCAATCGCGTTCTCTCCCTCCTCTGCCAAACCTCCCCGCAACTCCTCCCCACTCTCCCCCTCTCCCCCTCCCCTCTCCAGCCCTCTCCCCTCTCCCCCAACCTCTCGTCCGATCTCTCCGCCTCCTGCTCTCTCCTCCTGGCTTTTATCGCTCGGGAGGGGTTGGCGAGACCTGTGGGGGGGGCGAGCAGCATAGTGTGTCACATGGGTGGGAGGGAGGAGGCAGCAGCACATGCACGGTCGGCCTCTGTTGGATGCCATAAGGGCTGGTTTGCTGTCACGGCTAGAGCCACCGCCGCCGCTGCTGCTGCGCGCCGAGAAACCTCTAATGCTGCTTCAGCCGCTGCTGCTGGTACTGCTGCTGGTGCTGCTGCTGGTGGTGGTGCAGGTATTGCTTCTGGTGCTGGTGGTGTTGGTGGTGCCAATGGGACTCCAGTGGGAATTGGAACTGGAATAGCCACAGCCACTGGAACCACAGGTGCTGCTCAATCTCTCGCTTTGGCAACACCAGCAGCAAGCACACCCGCTACAGCCGCTACAGCTGCCACAGCAGGCACTACTCCCTCTGCGGCAGCCCTCTTTCCCCCTTCCCCTACTCTCACAGGCAAGGGGGTGAGCCCTACGGGTCAACCCGAGGGAATCAAATCTGGAACGCTTAAGGTAGCTTCTACCTCCCCAGCTACACCCCAGTCCCCTCTTATAAGCACGCCTGGTACAAGCACAGGCACGGCGGGAGGTTTGGGCCTCTGGGGTGCGAAGGGGCAGCAGGGACAGGCTGGGTTTGGAGCAGGTTCGGCAGAGCAAACCAAGCCTGGATGTTCGGCGGCGGGTGGGAAGGCTGGACTGGGGGTAGGAGACGGGAAAGGGGGAGGAGCGGGCGGCGTTCGTCGTCTGCATTCAGAATACACGGATACTGTAGCGATTGAGGTGTACTCCCTCGCTCTACACTCCCTACACTTCCTCACTTCCCTCCTCCGCAGATATTTTCCCTCGACAGCTGACATGGCAGGGGGATGTGCTGACGTGGCAGGGATGCAGCAGTGGTCCAGGAGAGGGGTGGGGGGAGGGGAGGTAGGAGAGGGGGGGTGGATGGGAGGGTTTGGGGGAGGAGGGGGAGGGGTGATGGCGGGGGTAATGGGAGGGGCGGCATCAGCAGTGGTGGTGATGGGGGAAGGTGCGCCGGTGCTGCCGGCACCAGAGGTGCTACATGGTCTAGAGGTGAGCTCTTGATGCTGCTGCAGTGCAGTTTGTTGTTGGGAGTTTCGAGTTGGTGCTTTGGTGTGTAGCTTGGAAGGTGAGCGAGCTGTGTCGGTGGTACCACTGGCTCTCCACTCAACCATTCCGCCTCCTCTTCCTCTCCCTTCCACTCCTTCCCTTCCACTCCCGCTCACCAGAACCAAGCAGTGGCCACCCACCTATTCAAATTCTATCTCTTTTTAACCTCCCTCCCTCCCTCTTCCCATCTTCTTTCTCTTTCTCCCTCCCACCCCTACTTACCAGGACCAAGCAGTGGCAATCATTCTAGACATTCTCGCATCTGCAGACCAAACCAACCACCCCTCCTCATCCACCACCCCAAGCCAACCCCCCACCAACCCACCCACCTTCAACCCCTCCTCTCCTCTCCGCCCCACCACTCTCTTTGGAAACCCCAGCCTCTCCTCCCCACCCGCCCGCTCCTCCCCCTCATTCCCCTCCTCCTCCTCCCCCTCCTCCTCGTCTCTCTCGTCCTCCTCCCTGCCGCCCGCCCGCCTGGCGGTGTGTCGTCTGCTTCTGGGGGTGCTGGTGAGGGCGCTAGCAGTGGAGGTGGCGTTGGTGCGGCTAGCAGATCCCACCATGCTGCCCTCTGCTCTGAGGCTCGATGACTTTGATGCTGCCGTGCAACTCATAGTGCAAGGTGAGGGGCAGACAGGGAGGCATGAGGTGAGGCACTAGTCACTTCTGGGGGTGCTGGTGAGGGCGCTGGAAATGGATGATATCTTGGTGCAAGGTGCGTTGACATGCACATGGGCTTATAATACAACGAGTTGAGGCTTGAGGCGAGTCACTTCTGGGAGTGCTGGTGCGGGCACTAGCAGTGGAGGTGGCGTTGATGCGGCTAGTGGGTCCCACCATGCTTCCCTCTGCTCTCAGGCTTGATGATTTCGACGCTGCCGTGCAACTTATAGTGCAAGGTGAGTGGAGGGGCGCGGGAGTGGCAGGAGTTGGTGGTTGAGGCAACTCAGTTCTCGCTTCTGGGAGTGCTGGTGAGGGCACTAGCAGTGGAGGTGGCGTTGGTGCGGCTAGTGGGTCCCACCATGCTTCCTTCTGCCCTTCGCCTTGATGATTTCGATGCTGCCGTGCAGCTTATAGTGCAAGATGAGAGACAGACGAGGCAGTACCAGAAGGGGAGGGTTGTAGAGTGATGTGATAGAATAGAAGCCTCCTAAGCACGTCCTTCTCTTCACTCTCTCCCTGCTGGTCCCTTTCTCATCCTGGCAGCGGCAGGCAGGGAGCCATTGATCCAGTCGGATGTGGAGGCGGTGGTTGCACTAGTCAGCAGACTCACCCACCTGTCGCAGCATGCCAGCATGCCTGCCCTCCATGAATCTACGACTGTCAGCCTCATCTCTTCTCCTGACACTTCCTCTGTGCGTTGAATTGATTCTCTCCACTGGCAGCGGCAGGCAGGGAGCCATCGATCCAGTCGGATGTGGAGGAGGTGGTGGCGCTCGTCAGCACTCTCACGTCTGTCAAATGCGTCTCGTCTCCCTGACACTTGCCCATGTCTTCTAACTCACTCATCTCACAGCGGCAGGAAGGGAACCGTTGATCCAGTCGGATGTGGAGGCGGTGGTGGCACTAGTCAGCACTCTCACCCACCTGTCATAGCGTGCAAGCTTGTCGAATGCGTCTTTACTCCTGACTCTGACTCTTCCCCCTGTCTATCCACTATCTCCACTGGCAGCGGCAGGCAGGGAGCCATCGATCCAGTCGGATGTGGAGGCGGTGGTGGCACTAGTCAGCACTCTCACCCACCTGTCGTAGCATGCAAGCTTGTCGAATGCGTCTTTACTCCTGACTCTTCCCCCTGACTCTCCACTCTCTCATCTCGCAGTGGCAGGCAGGGAGCCGTCGATCCAGTCCGATGTGGAGGCGGTGGTGGCGCTCGTCAGCACTCTCACCCACCTGTCGTAGCATGCCAGCATGCCAGCATGCCTGCCCTCCATGTGAAGTTCTGTTGGTGAACAAACCCTTTGGTCACATAACTTCCCTCAACCCAACTGTTGGCTTTCAACACACCTTACACTTCCACAAAATATGGCATGTCTCTTCACTCTTAATCACAATAATTGGCCTTGGTTAGTGTGCTGTTTTGAGGTGCAGACAACCTGAGCTGGTTCAAGGCTGGCCTGGCCCAGCACTCGGTCTCAGAGAAGGCACATTCTAGAGCAGGCTGGAGTCAGAGGGTTTCCATGCTGCTCTGGTGGGTGATGGTACAACAAAATTCCCTCTCTACACAACCAAAAACAAAGCGTGCTCAGCAGGACTCGAACCGGCACGGGCAGAGCCCAACAGATTTCTAGTCTGTCCCGTTAACCACTCCGGCATGAGCACATATTACTCTATTCAACCTAATTTTACCAGCCCGCGTAACTGACACAGGAAAGCATCCAAGCCGTGTCCTCGTTATGCTCCCACCGCCATGGATTGGCAGCGGCAGTTCCCGCTTCTCGTAGCCGTGCTGCTCGTCGCGCTCTCCCTCTCCGGTGACGTCATCCGTCCCTTCACCGCCTCGCCTGCCGCTTCGCAGGCGCAATCCGGCCCCGAGTCCGCCACCACCGCCGCACCTGTCGCCGCGTCTGGCGCCGGGTTAGCCGCGAACCCTGTTCCAGCATCCGCTACTGGCGGCGGCGCGATGTTCGCGTCGGCGTCGGCCACTCCTAGTCACAACCATGCGCACAATCTCTTAATCTCCTTTTGCACCTCCTGATCCTACAGGTACTAGTAACCCTACTCTGGCGCTTGTCTAAGTCTTTCTCGCTTTCCCTCTCGCTAGTCCACCGTTTCGCTCGGCTCCTTTCGCTCCTCTTTCCATATTGCTCGTCACGTAGCTTTCTTACTACTACCCCTCTTCGTTCCCTATTACTCGCCTTGTACTATCCTTGAAACGAATTACTTTTGAGACGTCTCAAAACTAAACATTTTACACGTGGCTTTCTTACTACCCCTCTTCTTTGAAACGGAGTCCCTATCACTCGCCGTGTACTATCATTGAAACGAATTACGACTCCGCCGAGCCCTATGAGCTTGTCCTTTTTGTTCTGCCCGCCCGTCCTGCTCCTTCCCGTCTTCCCAGGGGGGCGGCGCAGCAGGTTCGGCAGATCCTTTCGGATCGGTACCCGGACCTGGAGGTCAGCCTCGGCAACCACCCGCCCCCCGCGTACTGTCAGGTGCTCTCGAAGCTGCTCTCCGCGGCGCAGATGGCGGCGATGGCCGTGATTTTCGCGGGAGACTCGCTGCTGCCCGCCGTCGGCCTCCCCCCGCCCTTCCCGCAGTGGTGCGTATCTTGATCAGGAATTCTAAACGCTGAGCGCAGCTGGCGGCGCAGATGGCGGTGATCGCCGTAATCATCGCGGGGGACTCGCTGCTGCCTGTCGTCGGCCTCCCGCCAGTTGGGGGAGTTATTTTCAATCTCCCCACCCTGTTGCTGATTTCCCCAATCGTGAGCTCCGTTTGGGGAAAATACGTTGTCGCTTCACGGTTGGTTTTCCGTTTGCTGAATGCGTTTGTGCAGGGCGGGTAGATATCCTTCCATCGTTTCGTCTCCATTGTTTTTCTCCCTTCTCCCACCATCTCTTCCCCTCTCCCCCACCCACCCCATCTCCCCTGATTTCCCCCCTGCCCACCCTCCCTCAACTGATTTGCGGCACTCTCCCTCCCATATTCCTCCCCTCATCCTGTCTCCACCCCTACACCACTTCCCTTATCGATTTTAACCTGTGGCTTTCCCCAACCCACAGGTACGAGCAGATCCGAACCAACCGGCTAGGCTCGGCAGCGACCGTGTGGATCATGGGCAACGTGATTCACGGGTCGCTCGCCAGCACTGGCGCGTTTGAGCTCGTCCTGGACGGCCGCACGGTGAGCATTGGTGGCAATGGGTGGCTCTTGGTTTGGTTGGGCTGGGTTTGGTTGGGCTGGGTTTGGTTGGGCTGGGTTTGGTTGGGCTGGGCTGGGTTGGGCTGGGTTGGGTTGGGTTGGGTTGGGTTGGGTTGGGTTGGGTTGGGTTGGGTTGGGTTGGGTATGGTCGGTGGTGGGCGTGGGTGGCAGTGTGACATGTCAAATTGGAGTCCCCCTATCACCACCACATCCCACTGTGATGCACGGGTCGTTTAGCCAGCACGGGTGCTTTCGAGCTCGTACTGGACGGCCGCAAGGTGAGCATTGGTGGCAGTGGGGTGGCTTGGGTTGTCATGGGATGGCATGGATTGTCATGGGATGGCTTGAGTTGTCATGACGCCTCCCTACACGTCTTCCCTCCTCCCATCTATTTCTCCTCCTCGTTCCCCAAATGCCTCCGCCACATCTTCCCTCCTCCCATCTCTCCTCCTTATTTCCCAAATGCCTACGCTCATGTCTTCCCTCCCATCTATTTTTGAGTCAACTCAAAAGTCAGCTCGTCTTCCCTCCTCCCATCTACTTGTTCTTCATGTTCACATGGATGCCTCCCCCCCACGTCGTTCCTGCAATTTGATTGGTGCAGCTCTTCTCCAAGCTGGCAGAGGGCCGCATGCCACAGGTGAATGAAGTCATCTCATTGGTGGGCGAGCACATGCGGGGTAACCACATGCAGCAGTAACCACATACTATGGTAACCAATAGTAATTTCACATTATGATATTCCTGCAGCAGCAGGGGAAAGAGGTAGTGGCAGCTTTAAAGGTGATACCAGTAGTAGCAATTTTCTAGGGGTCTGAGGAATGCTTGGTTGGTGGGAAGCGTCGTGTTCCTAGTGATGGGTGAATGCAGGAGGCTTATGCGTGGTTTGTGGGGAGTCAGTGGCATCAGCACAGCAGAGCGTTTTATGACAGCATGGCCACAAACCAATTCAATGGCTGGCTCATGCTCGATCCTCCTCTGCTGCAGCTGGCACCATTCAATCCTCACTGCCACGCAGATGCCTCCTCGTTCTCTGCTCAAATCACTTCTCTACTGATGGAAGGCTGGTTGGATATGGATGGAGATGGCAGGGTAGGGGTGTGCTATTGCAAGTGTGTGGATGATTGAACTTTTATATGGACTGTTTTGCTCTAGACTTCTATATTCACGTCAAGAACACCGACCAGATTACCATCAATTCTTCCGTCCACTCCGTCCCTCGTTAGTGGAACTTTGTCTCTACTTGATTGATTCCTTCATGCCGCTCTCTTATCTTACTCGTCGGTCGCGACTTGTCTATGGAAGGTCACGCCAGTGCAAGGTTTTGCAAACAAGACGATACGTACCGTAGCAGAAGCGCGCGCACCGCTAGGAAACGAGAAACAACTGAGCCAAACGTTTTTTACCGATTTACATGTGTCTGTGCCGTGGGAATTCAGGGACAAGCCAAACCATTATTTCTACGAGGGAGGAGAAATGTGAATTTGACATTTCGAGCTTCACAGATTTGTTCTCTTTTCTGCCAGCCAGCCAAGATAGCAAGCAACCCTGTTCCGAATCCTCTCTCCGTGACTTCCGCCATGCTCCCCACGTCGACGCTTATGCTCTCCTCTCCCAACGCCGTCTCTGCTGTGCTGACAGCACGCTCTGCTTGTACCGAGACTCTCGAGCAGCGTCGCCAGACCGTTCCGTCTCTCTCCGTTTCTAGCAGCTGTGTTTCTCACCAGCTCAAATCCACCTTTTCCGGGTTTCGTCTTCCTCTCGCTCGATCCGCAATCACGAAATCCGTTCCAAGAAATCCTCTCCGACGAAACCGCAACCTTTCTACCTTCCGTGTTGTGGCATCATCCAATCATCAAGCTATGGCCGGTGCAAGTGGAACTGATACCGCTGGTTCCGGTGATTCTTCTTCCGGGCTCGTCGTGTGCTTCGGCGAAATGCTCATCGATTTCGTCCCCACCGTCAACGGCGTATCTCTCGCCGAAGCGCCTGCGTTCATGAAAGCTCCGGGCGGTGCGCCTGCCAACGTGGCGGTCGGAATTGCGCGGCTCGGTGGACGCGCGGCGTTCATGGGGAAGGTTGGGGAGGACGAATTTGGACACATGCTGGGCGGGATTCTTAAAACGAACGGCGTTGACACGTCAGCGCTCAGATTCGACGCGGGAGCGCGCACAGCCCTCGCTTTTGTCACACTCAGATCCGACGGCGAGAGGGAATTCATGTTCTACAGGAACCCTAGCGCGGACATGCTGCTACAGCCAGAGGAGCTCGATCTCCCCCTCGCTACAAGCGCATCTGTGTTACACTACGGATCCATCAGTTTAATCACAGATCCGTGCAAATCCGCGCATCTGGCTTTGCTAGATGCTGTGGAAACCAGCAGCAACACTGTTCTCTCTTACGACCCTAATCTCCGGATTCCCCTCTGGCCGTCCCAAGAAGCGGCGCGAGATGGCATCTTGAGCATTTGGAACCGCGCTCACATCATTAAAGTGAGCGACGAGGAGGTGGCGTTTCTGACCAATGGCGGCGACCCTTACAGCGATGACGTGGCACGGTCTCTGTTCAACCTCAGTCACAAAACCAGCAGCAGCGGCGACGGTAAAGGGGAGGGGAAGCTTCGGCTATTGCTGGTAACTGAGGGGGAGAAGGGGTGCAGATACTACACAGAACAGTATCAGGGGAGAGTGGATGGGTTCAGTGTTGCTGCTATTGACACCACTGGCGCTGGTGACGCCTTTGTTGCAGGATTTCTCCGCAAGCTAGCGGGAGGAAGCAGCAGTGGGTTTGCTGCATTGGATTCGCTGCTTGCAGATGAGGCTAAGCTGAAGGAAGCGCTGCTGTTTGCCAATGCGTGTGGAGCCATCACCACCACGGTTAGAGGCGCCATTCCCGCTCTCCCGGATGAAATGAGGGTGGCTCAAATGCTGGGTTGATTGAGGCTACATGATGCTAAGCTGATGGAAGCGCTGCTGTTTGAGAATGTAGAGCCATCACCACCAAGGTTAGAGGCGCCATTCCTGCTCTCCCGCATGAAACAAGGGTTGTTCAGACGCTGAGTTGAAGCTAGCTGTGTGCTATGTTGGCATTGAGACTTTGGCACTATTGTAGCTTCAAAATAAAATGTAGTGTGTGTACAGTGCACGTTTCAACCAATATAGTAGGTAGGATGGGGCAACATTGGCTGCCAATTCGGTACAAAACACAACTCATAACCAAGGTGAGCAGCACTCCCTTTGGTGTGCTAAATCCTTGGGAAAACATATACACAAAATGGTCACAACCGACACATTTACACCAACCTAAAAGGAGGCAGCTTATTGAAAGCTGGGTGGAAAAACCCTCCTGTGGAGGGAAATTGCTCCACACTCCTGCCGTAGTAGGATGGTCAGGTTGAACAAAACTGGATGTACGTGTGTGCCTCACGAGGTTACCCGTCCGTAAACAATATCTTCAAGCGAAACGATCTTATTGCGGGTAGTGCTGCTCCGCTGCACCCGTAGACGACCAGAAGCACCTGCGGCCAGCACATCTGCCGCTGTTTGCTGCTCCCGCGGGGATTGCTGCTGCGCGGAACACCGCGGGGGCAGCGGCGCGCGCTGATACCGCCTACTCGCGGAGGACGTTGTCGCGTTGTGCTGCTTGATAAAGTCAAGCGCCGCGTCTTCCGCTGACACGTGGCGCGAACGCGTTTGCGGCGGCGAATCCAGATCTAGGGATGATCGCGAGGGGGAAGCATCGTGCCCGCTGGTTTCGTAACTAGACGCGGCTCCGTACGCGTCGGCCCATCCGGGAGCGGAAGCGGCGGACCAGGACGCGGTGCGGCACATAAAAGGGCCCGTCTGAGCCATACCCGGCACGGGGGAGGCGCTTCCGCCGTATGCGGCGGCGGCTCGCGCGGCGACGGCGGAAATGTCGAGCAGCTCCGGCGCGTCATACGGCATTTGCGGCGCGCGGAAGCTCTGCGAGCAGTGCGCGGGGGCGGAGCCCATGGCGGCGGGTGACGTGAGTCCGCGCGTCAACCGCCGGGAGCCGGAGCTCGTGTCGCTGCCGCACACGCTGAACCCGCCACTACTGCTGCTGTTGCTGGTTCCACTGCTGCTGAGGCTCGTGTTTCTGGAGTGGGAATAGTACTGGCCGGGTTGTGCGCCGGGTTGTGCGCCGGAGGGGAAATAACCGCCCGCTGTCTCCATGAAGTCCGGAAACTGCCCCGCCTCGCCGCCGGCGCCTGCGCTCTTCGGCCGACAAAAAGGCTCTGCTCCAGAGCCCTTCATACTTTTAACGGGTTCCATTGTAACGGGGTCGAAGCCGCAATACCCAGGGTCAACCTTGTGAGACATTATAGGTTCGACGAGGAAGTACGTGGTGCCGACTCGGAGCGCGGCGTGTGGGGAAAGGCAGGGGGAGCGTCCCGGGGAGGAGGAGGGGGAGTCGAGCCGGCAGACGCGGCAATTGGGGAACTCCGCGAGAACGTCGGAGACGAGGAGGGGCGGGTCGCCGGGTCGCGCGGCGGAGAACATGCGCACGCCGCCGTCTGGTAGAAGCAGGAGAATTGTGTCGTCTTCGCAGGGAGCGGCGGCCATTGCGGAGATTGTGATCTCGGAAAACAGCACGGATATGTTCGCGTTCTGCGACGATGGTCGGCGATTCGCGCTGCGTGCGTTAAGGCTCCCGATCTGGAGGTTCGTGCTCCGTTCGTCGTAGTTTGCGGGGACTGCTCCTGGTTCGGAACGAAGGATGGACACAGCTGATTGAGAAAGAGAAGCTGTAAAAGGCTGGTAAGCAGTGGAGCGACAACAGTCTGCGGAGACTTGCTCGAGGTGGGAGAATTGAAAAGTGGAGGAAGTGTGGAGTGCGATAGGGCAGTTATCCAAACTCGTGGGGGGTGTCCTCTCACTTGAAGCAGAAAGTGTGGTTGTGGAAGTGGAGCGGGTGGCCCACGCCACGCGCAACCTAGTCTGCTTTGCGCGGCTGTCCTTGATCATGTTTGGCGGTATTGTAGTGCACGCACCCATGCATGACACATGATGGGCGGGGCGCAGCAGCCGCGACAAGACGAGACGACGAGACGAGAGTCGAGACCAGCAGCATCCATACAGTACTGTACATGTTGTGATGAGTGGAGGGGATGGGATGATGATCATGGTGTAGTGTACTGTGTGGGATTGTTGGGCAGGTGGGATGGAGAATGGCGGTGGGGTGCTCCGTCCTTGGTGGCAAAGGGACCTGTGTGTGATTGCCCAAACAACCCCTCTACACTGTGCCCAACCTTTTCTGTCGTCTCTATTGGGCAACTCTTTCTGTCAGAATTCGATGGGTCAATTGGTTTTTTGCTCACAAAAAGTCTGGTGCTCGTGTAAGCGGCTGGATTGCGTGTGAAGGGGGTTTGGGGTGGGGGCGAGAGCAGGGGAATGGTGAACCCAAGTTACGTCTGATTTACTTAAAGCCTCATTTTAGGGGTTTAAACCCGTCGACAAGTGTAGACGACTGTAGATTCTGCCAATGAGCAGCTTTTGGAAAAGGCTCAGCTCATGACATGAGGAACGGCTGCTGATGATTGCTTGGACCATCGAATCGAAGCCGTGAACGAAGTGGGGGAAACGAACAACAAAGTTGCGTTGACAGCTTTGGAAGCATTGCAGCAATCGCATGCTTTGAGATGCTTGCCACGTCACAATACAGCTGAAAACTACAAATATTATTCTGAATGCTGTGAAATGACGTGTTAAGGGCCTTTCTTGAGCTGGAAATTACACGAAAAGGAGAAAATCCGATCAAATCAATCAGCGCGGGGAACTGTAACGCGTATATGGTACAGTAGCAGATATTGATGGGGTTGCTGAGCATTGGGTTGGGATTTCTCTGGAGTCTAATGTACAGATAGATATTGACAGGGAAAGGGAAGGAAAGCCGTGTATCGGAGCCCCTTATGAACAAAGCATTTACAGTCAGAAATGTTGTGTGAATGCTAGACCTCAGATACACCCATATTTTCCCCCAAATATGCCAAACGGATCACTTATTAGCCCAACTTTCGCATAACGCGGATGAGGTGAGGGCAAGAGTTGACCATCTATTGTGCGCCAGTGTGAGGTGACTTGTCTGCCCCCACACCGCACCGTACCACCACCACCGCCCCTCCCCCCAACCACACCACCATCATCTCTTCTGGTTCCTTATCTGCACTGCACACACCTGGAACGGACGGGATTATCCAGCGGTGAAGTCTCACCAAGCTGAGCCGAACCTCCTCCTCCCAGCAGCGTGATTCGTGCTGTCTCCTCGCGTCTGACATAGCTGTGCGATTCGATTCGTGCCGCCAAGCATCATGAGCCTCGTTGCTTCCAGGACAGACTCTTGGAATCGACGGTGGGCGTTGTTTTTCGGAGAAGTGCCCTGGATACCCATTGTGTACTCCCCTCCCCTTCCCTGACCGGAATGGGATGCGTCCGCTGTTGCCGAAAAAGAGAGATTGCAACTCACCACTTATAAACATCTCGCGTACTGAGTCACCGGCCCCGCATGTAAGGGGGCATCCTAAAAATACAACATAATCGTACACTAAGAAACACCATCCCAGTCCACTAGAGTCCACGCTTTCTCGAATTGGCGTGTGTACAAACGTTTCGAACATAGCCCCGTGAGCATCGCGCACGCACGCGGAATTGGCATTGTGGGTGAAATAGCGCCCCTACAGCTGTTTCAGATCACGTTCCCAAGTTTAGTTTATTAGACGCCATGACTGAAATGTTGGTGCAACACAACACGTCGTCTCGTCGTCTCTCTCGTCGTCTCATGGTCTCATCTCTGCGTCAACGATTGTACAACTCAGCAACACCCCCAAAAAGCCTTCTGCCTGCCAGCGTGTACGCGCGAATCCCACAAACAGATACAAGAAATGCTACTAGTGTGCATGCACGCGACCACAAGCGCATCAGGCTCTCGCGATTCGCAAGATTTCTGTGAGTCACAGAATCGCCGGGCTATCGCGTACAAGACATCGCTCCGCCAGAAAATTGATTATCGCACGACCACATTTCAGCAGCGTCACATAAATTATTTTCCCGCCATAATGGCTTGGTGACTCAATTCGCTAGCACCCTGCGAGCCACATCAGACACGCGCCAGCCAGCTAGTGCGCCATACCCTTGATGCGCTTCATGCAGGATAGGATATTTCTGCGCGATGGCATGGCGTGCTCTCCTTTCTGAAAGGACAGAACGGCTGACGGAGAATGGCGTGTCCCAAAATACACAGAGCCGTCTATTCATGGTCGCGGCGGAGAGAAAAGAGGAACCTCGAATTTACTACGAGTATGAACCTCACGGGTCCGCCTTGCCTTCGATCGTGATGAACATTACTCCATGAGTTAGCAGCTACACTCGATAACTATCTCAGCCAACTCATCTCGAAAGTAATCACGTCTTAATTCAGTCACCGCTTTGGGAGTCACCCACGACCGACTCGCCTAGCGGCTAAACTCGACGAGCCGCGCTGGAGCAGAAACTAATGGACGGCTTTCCCGCCAACAGCCCGTCCCCGCGCGGCGCTTCAATGAAGCCTCGCGGCGAAGCCAACCCGAATTCCCAAGGGGGCCCGTCGTTCCCCAAGTCTGCTTCCACCGGCGGCGGCGGCGGCGGCGGCGGCGATACTAATAGTCTCTCAGTCAAGCACCCCGGGTCCTCGTCTTTCTTTCCTCGTCGACGCCCGTCTCGCCCGCTAAGCATCACACTTAGAACGCCGTCGCTCCCGGATTTTACCAAGGTCAACGGTTGCCACCGTAGTATCAGTAATAACTCCAATTTTGGCGGGAGCTCCTCCAGCTGTGGCCCTTCCCCCAGCAATCCGTTCTCTCCGCCGCTTTCCGCCGCTTCCTCTTCCTCCGCCAGCCCCGATATCTTTTGCGGTTCTTCCGCCTCCCCCTTCTCCCCCTCCC